TTCTTCTTCATAAAGGGCAATTCCAAAACTGTTAGAGAAGTTTTGGTAGAAGAAATCAAGGTCTGCAGTATCAGGCTCTTGGTTACTTAATGTAGACATTTTTTAAATTTGTTATAAATTAGATAAGTATTGTATTAGAAACTTAAAAAGATTTCTAATAGTTGAATAGTTGATTTTATAAGGGTAATAGATGAGAACAAGGGTTGTATAATTGAAGTATTACAGAAGTAACACTGGTGTGTGACTAGAATTATTAGGATCACAAGTATGTCTCAGGTACTGGTACAATTAAAGTTTGCAACACAAATTGTTGTGTAAAATTGATAAGAACCAAATAAGGAAATAGCTAATTGTATTCAATGAATTTCTATTAATAGATAGGTTACAAAATTCTGGTGTAAATTAATAAAGTATATATTGGGAAATAATAGTATGGTTATATGAAATCTGTGTAAGAGAAAAAGAGGATAGTGTAAGGACAAAAGATAGAAAAAAAAATTTTACAAGAGAGTAAAAGATGAGTTTAGCTGTAGTTCTGTCAATATTGAGTCAAAATTCTTCTTTTAGAGCTTGTTTTGATCAGACAAATGTGTACTACAACTTTAATTAAAGGTATAAGGCAAGTTATTGTAGTAGAAACTACGAGAGAGTTAATTTTTTAAAATTGAAGGCCAAGACCGTCAGTACAGTTTTCTCTATAAGTTTAAGAGCTAGAACTATAATATTTTCAGAATATATGTAAATCACTGATTAGAACAAGTTTACTTAAGACACCAGGACCAGTTGTCTTAGTAAAATTAACAGTTATAAGGATTTTTAGATGAACAGTTTTTTTAGTTAATTTTTGTGCAATAGATTTGCAGAAAGAGTTATTTTTATAATTATTGTTTGTTAATAACTTGCACAAGAGCATCTATTTAGGGAAGTATCAACTTTTGAGTTCTTTTTTTTCTTTTTTTTTTTATTATTATTATGCTAACATAGTTTTTTATAACTTGACTGAAAATTCTTATGATAATTTTAATAGTGAAATATTTTGTATGATTCTTTGAATGTGGTTTTTTTTCTTTATAATTGATTACATAAACAACTTTAACAAATCTGAACATGTCTTTTCAATATCTACAGGTTTCATTCTTACTTTAATATTTCAACAAAGAACTTAAACATAGTCAATTTGAACTAGAAGGTTGGTATGACATTAGGTCAATAAAATTTCAAGTTCAATTTTTTTTGTGATTCTCAAATGTTGGCTAATAAGGTTTTGATTATTATGATCTCATAGTCACCATCAAAAATTATGATGGATTATATAGATGAGTTTGGTAATAGGCAAATATGATGGATTGCTGCTAGAAAAATGATTATGTCATATAATGTTCCTCAAGAATAGTAGAAGCAGTATTTGATTTGAAACTGGTCAAGGTGATCAATGAAGAGTGTTACAAAATGAGTATTATGATTTTAAAAGAGCATTGGTTTATTTTACAAGTTAAAAAGAGTTTTATTAACTTTATTAATATTTTGTAAGGGTAATATTATTATATTATTAGAAGCAGTTTTAAACTCTTAAACAATATTTTAATTCTTTGATACCTCTCTTGAAAGAAAGAAATTTTATCTATTTTATAATGAATTTGATTGCAAGAAGCATCCATACAAGAACATGACTCTTCTCATTATTTTCAACAGTTTCCAACCTTATTTGTTATAACCTTTAACCCCTTCCACACAACCTTTCATTACTTTAACATTTCTTATGGCCTTCATAGAACTGATGAGAAATGTTTCATGATCCTGGAACCAGAACCCATCATATTGTCTTTAATCACACCCTCTTTAATATCACCTCACACCTAACCCAAGTAAGGCAAGTGAAGTCAACGTCCATTCTCAGCGTAACAGATTGGTCCAGGTTGACCTTACTTTAATTGGAGAGGGTGGTTGGGTCCCGCTTGGAGGCTTGTGTACTTTCATATGGCTTCTTTGGGGCCGGGCGCATATGTTTAAGATGGATCGTCATGGACACCTCTAATTAGGTAAGTATGCCACAATGACGTCCATTTCGCAGGTTCTATGAGGTGTCGGTTTTACCTCTGACAGTAATAAATTTCCAAAACCCAATAAAATCAACTTATTACTAAGCTAATTTTTTTAAATGAATGAGAATTAGATCTTATTTTTGACTATGGAGTCCTACAGCTCTAATGAAACCTTCTATATGATTTTTTTTTTTACTTTATTATAGATGGTTTTCGTTTTTTTTAAAAAGTACTCTAAACTGTATAAATAATGTAAAATTAAATTGACCACATTTAAAGTTGTTTTGTTCTAGATCTGGCCAAATGATCTGCAAATTTGACCAGAATTATCAATTCACCGATATGCAAAACAACAAAACTGACGTTTAAACTAACCTTGGAGCACTAATTAAAAATTATGGGAGACCAACTTTACACATATGAAGCAGATGTTTTATATATATAAACGCGAAACCTAATTGTAAAAGTTTCTAGGGACTGAGGCTGTGCAGGCTGCACAGTAGATTCAAAAAAACGCAGATTTTCCCATCTCTAATCGTATCCCCTTAATAATATTACCATAAGTCCCATATCCGATAATAATTCGATCCTAATAAAGTAAAAAATTAGAGTTAGTAACGAAATCCCATATTTGATTTAGTAAAACCACACATATATTTGTTAATTATCAGAGTCGGATTTGTGATCAAGTTAGCCCATTATTATCCACTCTATACGTATTTACAACAATTGGGTTACCAACCAATCATAATCGTCCATAAAATACAACAGTTTATCGCATACTTAGCATGCAATGATTATACAATATTTGGAATTTAACTATACAGTAAATTTATAAAATATAGTTATTACCATATATCGGTTTTTGCCATCGATTTCGGACACCCCTATTAAGAACGCACCTATTCTTAAATACTGTTAATGGATTTTAATTATTTGGAGTGGGTACGTTCTTGGTAATGTGTTCGAAGATGATGTCTAAAACCGATAATTATACAATAATGTAGTATAATTGTTTAAAAATGGTTTTATACAGAGGTATGCTTATAGTAGGGTTGTGGCAATTACACGATGCAGTTTACTTTAAAAACTAATTTAGACACTAGTTAATAGTTAAATTTATTCAAAAAAAAAAACATAAATTAATGCAAACACTATAGACAAAAATGGAAAGTAAAATGAAATATTTGTAATTTAAATTCGTAACAAGACACTTGATATAAAATATTTTATCAATATACGATTTACTTTTATGGCATTTGATTTGTTGCAAGTTCATTTTTCTTTTGTAAATCAATAGGTTCCCAATATTTTCTAGCCTTTTCCAGACATTCAAAATATCTTACAGAAAAATGATTCCTAATAAAGCCTGGTGTAATATAATCAAAAGTTGATGTCACTTTATAGTTCACAACGAAGGGATTCTTGATTGAATTCCAACCATTAGTAGAACCATCAAATTGATCGGAAACCCCGAAAAAAGATTGCCAATCTACAAGACCAAGTCCTTGTTTAATAAACAAATAATCAATATCAGGTCCGTAAAGATGACGTTCAGAACTCGGTTTACTACTATCTTGATAAAATCGGACTTCATCACCAATATTAATGTAATTAAATAAATTAATCTTTGAAAGAAAATGACCTAGATTTGGGGTATGAAAACCAAAAGGAAATCTAGGAACAATATCATTATCATTGACAATTCTCCAAAAATTCTTATTTAGATTAATTTCTTTGTTCATAAGAGTCTGAAATCCTGAAGCAAAATCACTATCACCTAGAAGTGGACTAGCAAAGGTGATCGCATCGCGTATTTCAACTTTATCGCCCAAACTAGTTGGCGAATGTAACAATCGGGCATAAAATAATGTTGCCAAGGCACCACCCATTGAATAACCTGAAACCCAGACTTTAACTGGTTGAGCCGTTCGTTTGTAAATTTCATTTGCTTTATCACGTATTGCTTCAGCTAATCTTAAAGCAGGACATTGTTTTGCTGATTTTACCGAAGAATATGAATTGTCTGTGAAGAGATCTGTATAGTACCCATAATGAACTTCCCCAAAAAGGAATGACCTTAAAATAAGGTATAAAGACGGATTTTTTTTTAAAAAAAAGAACAAATAAATAAATGAGGGCAGTAAATGACAGTTTTACAAGTTTACCTTGCATCAATTCTTTGAAGGCTAAAATCTGTTAACCATTCTGACAAGTTTAGAGGATCTGTTCCCTTAAAAGAAACTATAATAAAGTTTTGCTTCTAAGAATTTCAAAAATTTTGCTTGTTAATATAATAAAAAAACAAATTTTAATATATGCGTAAAAAGGAGAGATATGAACTACAGTATACCTCTGACCAGTATAAACCAGCGTAGGGACCTCCGATTACGTTACATTCAGTAATAGAAGTAAATTCCAATCCAAATTCCTTTGATTGCTCTCGAATTGGTGTTTCACTTTCACGGAGTTTATCAATAATTCTTTTAATGTCTTCGCTACTAGCTTTCTTAGGATTTTCCTTTAATTTTAGTATCTCCTTTTGAGCATCTTCAACAAGGGTTGAATCACGTTGCTGCATTAAAACAGTTGTGTACAACAGCAATTCTACCCTGTTTAGATTAAGATTGGAATACTTGTTTTCATCCGAAAGTGTATCCGGATCATCCAAAGAAGTAAGTCCAGCACGTAAAGTTTCCTCTTTTTATTAAAACATAAGGGTATAGTTTATTGATTATTGAATTTAAAACTGGATTCTAAAATGATAAATTTTATTGCTAAATATAGGTTTTGCATACCAAATTCATACAAACTGCTAGTCAATTCGTACAGTCAATTCGTACAAATTGACATTCAAATTCTTACATAACACTTTTAATTAAATCACAATATCTTGTAAATTTGGTACCTTCAATTCTTCTAAATAATATGAATTGAATGGTATTAAAATTACATGATCAAGATCATTAGATCACATGAAATTGTGATTTAATTAAAAGTGTTATGTACGAATTTGACTGTCAATTTATACGAATTTGACTGTCAGTTTGTACGAATTTGGTATACAAAACCTGTAAACATGTATATACGTATTTTGTAAACTTACTTATATTACTATTGGTGAAAGATGACCATAAATCAATAACTTTTTGATCTTTTTCAGGATTTAACGATTGAATAAAGCTCACGAGTTTGAGAGAAGTCTCAAAGAAAAATACAAATACCGTAAACACTGGCAAGATAACAAAAGTAATAATGAATTCTAATGGATTGGTGATAGGTAAAGTAATATTAAATAATAATGTTAAGCCTAAGTAAATTATAACACGTTTAAAGTAAATTAAATAATTTAAGGATTGAGAAACTAGAGGAATCCGACGTAGAAAGAGACCCAAAGTTGGTTTAGGAGTATTAACCAGATCAATAAAATGAATAAGTTGTTCAGGTGGTGTTTTATTTTCTTCGTCGATATTCACAATAGATGTACTTTCTGTTTGAGCCATTCTTTAAAGCTGTATATTCTTGATATAAAATTAAGAAGTCTTGTCAAAAAAGAATTTTAAGGGGGTTAATTTCTTAGCCTTTAAAGGTTACTTTGATTCTTGTTATTTTTTAGATTACTTTGCGAATTTTCGCAGCAATCGAAGACCTTATTAGGCAAATGATTTCCTTTTTTAACAACTAATAATTTATGCATAAATGCGGTGAAATTTCATCATTGTTCTATGGTGCAGAAGTCTATACTCAACGAGTACACTAAGTGCTTCAATTTTTTTAAATGGTATAACTTTATCTAAGAGATTTTAAAAAAATCTGACCGGTAACTTTATAGAGCTATATCAGCTCTACGTATGTGCCAAATACCTTTTCAGAACCATATCTCTGTAAAGAGTTTATGCGTTTTGAAATTGAAAATTTATGTGTAAACTTATAAATTTGCATATAAAATTTCAATTTTCAAAACGCATCGACTCTTTACATGATGAGATTCTGAAAAGGTATTTGGCACATATGTAGAGCTGATATAGCTCTATAAAGTTACCGGTCAGATTTATTTAAAACCCCTTAGATAAAGTTATAACCATTTAAAAAATCGAAACACTTCGTGTAACTGTTGAGCATAGACTTCCTGCACCATAGCCTATGGGCGAAAATTGTTGATGGGAAAAAATTAAGTGATGCAAAAGAATTACATAACCACTCCGAATATGAAATATATTGTGAGCGCCACTATATTAAAATATTAATAAGCAAGTATACAATTAACCAATCAAATACAAATAAAATGCTTAATTTAATCATGTTTTTACGAACTGTTTCATGATGACTTCATAAGCAATTCATAACTCAGAAGACAATCAGCCAATAATACAATTCATGCAATTCAGTTTTATTATATTTTTAATATTTAATACCGACAATTTCTTAACATCACGTAAATGATTGCATCAAACTTTATGAAATATTATATTTATTTTTAATAATCACCAACGTCGATAAAATCCTCTCATACATAACAAAAAGAATCTTATTACAAAGATTAACCGTTTTAGAGGAGAAAAAACCAAATGAATATGCTACATCGCTTAATTGAGTATATTTACAGCAGAGACAGTGCCCGATCCAAAGTGAATCCCTCTCACCTGTGATCAATCACAAATTAAATTATTTATGGTAAATTCAATTGTGATGGATATAATCCCTCACGAGTTTTAATATATGTGTAATATTAACGGTCTCTGCTGTTGAGTATATTATACGAAGCAGGGCACAAAATTTCCGAATGCCGGAAGCTGCTTTTTCTCCGGTGGTGTTTATTTTAACCGGAACTTAGAAAACTCAGCCGGATGTAGCAGTTTTTTAATAAAAGATATTGTAATATTTATTGATATTTATATAGATAAGTATATATGATATCATATTCAGAAATTTTCCGGCTGTTGAAAAGTCGGGCCGGAAATTGTCACGTGTAAACGGAAATTTCCAAAATTTTACAATAGGATTTGTGCCCTGATACGAAGTATCAATAATCAAAACGTATTGTATTTTATGAATATTGCTCCGCAAATCTGTATGTGTAACAAAAATGCGGACTCTAAAAAAATCTAAATTTCATGTGATTAAAAGAACTGAAGAATATTTTAGTTATTATTATTTTGGTATTAAGATAAGGTTTTTCTTATATTTATAGTAATTTAAATAAGTTATATATATATATGTTATGGTCAAAGTTAGCATTTGCAGTCAAGATTAATTATTAAACTGCTAATTATACAGTTATTACTATTTGTACAAATTAAATTAATTGAAAATTACATGTAAGAATAAAAGCTTAGATTGATTTATTTGTGAATTAAACCTATTAGAATGGTTAAGGCTTGCCTAGATTTGAATGTTTAGTATATAGTTTGATTATATGTTGTATTTAATTTATAAAATAGATTAAATGTTAATTTTGCAAATTGCTAGATTAATAGAAGAGCATATATTAGAATAAGTATGTAATTAATCAAAAAACATGCAAAGACATGAGTAAGTATAATCTATTTGAGAATAAGTATGTCTAGCAATTAAACTATATAATGTTGTAATTTAGTTAATAGTTTGAAATTGAAGTCTGTTTTTTATTTTTTTTGGTTAAAAATAAATACAATATATTTTTTTGGTTCAAATGCACTTTAGCGGGTACTAATACATTGAATTATCACATTCCGCAGATTTTTCATTCTAGCACGTCGC